AAACGCCGAATTCGATGCTGCACCTATTTTGCGGATTAATATGCATTATTAATTTAGGCGTACATAATCATTTTGAACTTGTGCTTCGAAAAAACTCTGAAAAATGACCCATTTAAATGCTGACATTTTTTAGCAAAGAGCTAGCTCATTGTCTTCTACCGATGTACAGTAATCAACAAAATCCGGCTATCTTTCTTCCAAAAGATCCTATCACTCTTAGGAAAACTCACTCTTAAGATTGCATTAAATGCAACGACGAACAAATTGATTCCCCCATCTTCTTACTTTTAGAGGGCACAATATGGTACGTTGAATTAACATCCAGTAAAGAAGAAAAACGTTGTGCAGAATTAGCGCAGTATTTAAAACAGCAACTAGGTGAAACATCTGATCTTGGGACATTAGGGGATTTTCTAACGATTATGGGCGAATATGATAAAGCTGAAAATTACTATAGAATCTTATTAAAAGATCTTAAGTTACCCGATGTTCATACAGATCGTGCTATGATTTATAATCGTATCGGTGTTATTCGCCGTGAAAAAAATGATACAGCAGCAGCAATTGATTATTACGGATCCGCAATCTCTGCAGCTCCACGGGATAGCGGTATAATAAAAATGGCAGCATACAACAGACAGATTGCTGAATCTGATTTAAAATTAGCACCAAAAATATTTCTCGGCAATCGCTTAGCATCAAGTGATATCATAACTAAGCCTCTAGTTGCTACGCATGAACTGACCGAAGCTATAGTAGAAAATAATAAGGGACATATTGCCTATCTACACAAGACTTACGATTCGTTGAACATCGCCGTTGAACATTATAAAACATCTCATAAATTATTTGAACAATCCGAATCAAAGCGTTTAAAAGAAATGTCAATGGTTAAAAATAATTTAGGTGCAGTTGAATATGCCAGAAGAAATTATTCGAAAGCTAAAGAACATTTTGATGAAGCTAAATCTCTGATAAAAGAAGTAAATCCAACACATCCATGGCTAGCTTATTATTTCGAAAATTCGGTCTGTGCAGAGCTGAAAGTACCTCTAAGTGAGGCATCACTACCACCACCAAACAAAAAGCAGAAAACAGAACACATAAACGAATAGATTTAATTGCTTATTTTAAGGCTTGGTTACGTATTTCTCATTTTAGCTTTGTAGTGTAGTTAGTAGAAATTGTGATCCGTAAAAATTAATCCATTTGATTAGATTTTGTAAGCTAAATGCCAGACCAAAAGTCCCTCTTATTTTTAAAATTAAATTAAGTTCCCGAAAATTGTGTCTTTAATACGGTTACTCGATCTTAACCTGAAAGCGCAAAAAATTGCGCATAAAACACTTTACATTTTCCAATCTTATTTTTCTCTTAAAAAATCATCATCTCGATGAATAGATTGAATCTCTTCATTGGAATTCTTTATTCGTCTTTAATCGATTTACAATCTGCTGCTACGAAGAAGAAAGTACCTGACTGGTTAAATCATCATTTTTCAAGAAAATTTTTTACCATTAATTGTATCAACTGCCCTAGTTACAAGCTTTCTTCTAATTACAAATTGCAATTTTCTACTATTGACACTATATCTTTCAGTTATTTAGATAAAAACGACTACAGCAACTGCAACAACAACAACAACGGTCGTTATTCCCCTTAACAAAAGCAGCAGAAGGAAAACGAAGACTGATTCAGTCAAGGAAGAGCAGAGAGAGAACTCAACTGTATAGAAAAACAAACTGAGGAATCAGCAGACTGATTTACAACTCCAAAGGGTTCTTATGCTTTCAAAATTATGAACTGGTAACAGTTTGTGAAAATTTTCCGTTATTTCAAGTTCAAAAGGAATACATGCTCCATTTGCAAACTACCGAGAGGATTCCCTACCATTTGCGGACTTCAAAACGGCTCTGAAACGCTTGAAAAATCTTCATTTCCAAGAAATGCACTCTCCCAGCATTGCTGAATGACTTTCACAGTTATTTCTGTCATTTTTAGGCACAATTTTACCGACACTATTAAATGAAGGCAAAATTATTCCGCACTGGACTGGCAGTCCACCACGATGGCGTTGATGTTCACTTGGAATCAATAAAACTCTTACGTTCTTGGACAAGTGTGCTTATTTGTTCAATTGTCTTTTTCCTCGCTTTGCTGAATACTATTCTTGTAAGCTATTATTTCTATAATACATTCCTAAAGATATTCTTCTTCATGTAATACTATAGATCCCTTTTTCCTTCTGCCCATTTGTTATGAACTGGACTGGACTGAAACTAAAAATTGTGCGTGAATAATCTTTATTGCACAAGTAGCTTAAGTAATAGATGAAAGAAAACAACTACACATTGTGTATTCTAAAGAGTGTAGCTTATAAAATATGCATTCTCACGTAAGTTCACCTATAAGACACTTAATAGATTGACCTGCGGGAATGTATCAAACACTCGATTTTAAGTAATTTACTTACCTACATGTTTTATTGCATGTCGTCGAAAAAATACTTTACACGATTCACGTGTTAGTTGCCCAAAATTGTAACCAGCTGCTTGATCACTACAAACTGCAGACATCTTTGCGTTAAAGTTGTTCTCAATTTCTCGAACAATAACATATACTTTTGATTCTATTTTCCGATTCTACAATCGAGACTATGAAAAGCATTTTTGGCTTCTTCTTTCTATGCATACTGTAGACACACAGATACAAAGCAAGAAATGGAGAAAAGAACAACTTTTATCGTTTTATCCAAACGAAAGATTGCAGTCACTATGAAATTAATGTATATTCTGGCAACTTCCCAGATTAAAAAGTTAACAAATTTGAAGATGCCCCTCTCCAGTTTTTATGACAGTCTGAAGTACACACGTTGTACTGTATGCCGACCTGCTTTTTAGAAAAGGGTACAGTCTAGTTTTTGAGATTCAGAGCTGTCCATGTTGAAGCTGAACATGGGACGAAAATGTTGGATGCTCAATGCTTAACAGCCCAAAAAATTCAATTACTCATCGAAATACCATGTCGTATATATACGTCACTTGGACTCAAAGAGTTAACCACATTCTAGTTCATTTTACTTTAGGTTGTACAGTTGACGTAAAAAACGATAATTCCGTAGTGAGCGCTGTCAAGTCATATGCATAATTCTGTGAAAATAATTTCATTCGTTTCTTACTGCATTCTCTGTTATATCTATTTATATAAGCGTACCGAAGAAAACGATTAAGAAGAAAAAAAAATGACGTCAAGCAAGAAAAGGAGAAAGTTTATATTTTCCAGCAAATGTTCGCTGCACCTATTATGCGACTGCTATATATTCTGTCAATTTGACAGACTAAGCTGAAATCAACTAGAATGTACCCCTCCCCGTTTTCTATGTCAGTTTAAAGTACACGAGTTGTACTGTATACCCAGCTCTTTTTTACAAAAGGCTATAGTATAGTTTTTGAGATACAGAGGTGTCAAACAGGTGTTCTTGACGTAGATACCTACTTCGTCATTCTAAATTCGTGCAATTTCTAAAGTTAAAGTGAAATCCATACATTTTACTACTTTTAGTCTGCGATATTGAGATCTTTATATCTTAAAAACTAAAATAGACCTTTTTCTAAAAATAGCATGGTATAGGGTACAAGTTGTGTACCAGAAACTGGCAGAAAAACTGGAGAGGGATCCCTTCAAATTTGTTAACTTTTTATTCTGGGAAGTTGTGAGAATAAACACTAATTTCATAGTGAGTAGAATCCTTCTTTTCGATAAAACGATAAAATTTTTCTTTTCTCCATTTCTTGCTTTATATCTGTCTCTATAGTGTGCATAGAAAGAAAAAACATCAAAGTAAAGAAAAATGAAACATAAAAGAGAACGGGAGAAAAGCGGCATTGTTGATGTCTACTGTTGAATATAGTGTAACATACCGTGAAAATCCATAGTGGAGAATCCGAGTCCAAAAAGTGTCGGGACCCCGACGAGATCTTTGCGCCGTACAACGTAACTCGGCGCGCTGATTCCGAATACGTAAAAATCTCGAGGGTCGCTTCTCTAGAAAAAAACCATCATATTTTGATATGATGCAATCTCAGATATCGTGTTTCTCCAGCTGGGGACGAAGACCCGGCCTCCATTGAGCTGGAATAGATTGAATTGAAATTTGAACGGATTGACTCTTTTTACACCGTTAAAATGAACTTTTTACTGGAAAGAAAAAAATTTAAAAAACGATACGCTCTATTGTGGTCTAATTAGCTTAATGAAGGTAACAGATATGAAGATCAAAACCATACAGTTCGATGGAGAAAAGTGCTACTCAATGATATATTTTTTAATTAATTAGTAGTCATCGTTAAAGAGCCAGGATGAAGATAGCCAAAAAACAGATCAAGTGGGGATATATAAATTCTTCTGACTTGGTCTGTTGTTTGGCCTTTCTTTCTTAGATCAGTGCTTTTAAATTACGTAATTCTATACTAAGTAAGAATTGTCTAGGCAGGGAAAAAGTGAAAAAGAAAAGAAAAATAGGATATAAATGTAATATGTTAAAGATGCTTGTCAAACTACAGTTTTTTTATTATCGACTATATATATTATATAAAAATAAAAAAGGGGAAAGTCTCTCCATATTAAAGTTGTCCATTCAAATTGTTTTATTTATGTAATTTTAATTAATCTAATTAGTATTCGTATCCAGTGAGGCAGATTGAGCTTAGTTCAATCAAAATGTTTGAAATAAATAAAGTTAGTAAGAAGAAAAACTATTTATTTAGAATATAAAATGTCTGATCTAAGTATTCATATCGACTTTTCAAAAATGAATAAAATACATTTTTCTTTAACAGTATTACAATAATACTGATATAATAAACGGGGCGTATATTACTGTGCAACATGTACTTCTATAATAAAAATTAAATTTTGTAAAATGCAAGTATAATTCAGGAAAGATTTTTGTTTAGGCATGAAAATTAAGATAAAACAATATACACATAAAACATAATTTCGATTCATATTTTAATACTGAAATAATTAAATAGACAATTTTAAACATTTTTCTGCGAGCTTAAATTTATTCATAACAAGAGAAAAAATAGAATATATACTTCTCTTGTTACGGATAAATTTTGTATGATGATGAAGCGAGAAGCTTCGAAAGCTCACAGAAAAATGTTTAAAATTGTGTAGGGATCTATAGTATTAAAAACTTCGTGTTCTTCTTTTGTAAGCATTATTATGACAAACATAAAACAAGGTTTCGGCAACAATAAACACACCAAAGTGTATCATGGATGACAACCGCCGATATTTAAAACCAAAAATCTCTCTATAGTGTCTGTTTATCAATGAATGTGAAATTAACTATAGCACATTAGATTATTTTTTTTTATTGCGCCTGTCTTAGAAATCTATCATTTTATTTTTCAATAGGTTTTGTAATCAATGTTGGACCATCCAAACTCACAATTTTCTTTGTGTTCGTGAAGGGAAGTAGTTGTTACACAAAATATTTTGCGATCAAAAATCAGAGAACTTCGCTAATTGCAAACGAGGATTAAGGAGGAGAAAAAAAGGAGAAAAAAGCGCTCTAAATTGTTAGACAATTGATGTTAGTAAAAACGATAAGAGAATTATTATTCAGCTAGATTTTTACTCCAGAACGTTGTCTATTGAAATTCTTATGTAATTTCTAATTAAGTCACGTTAATTTTGAGATTCAAATGAAATTAAATCAATCGAATCAAAAAGTCGTTTAGATCATATGTAGTACGTCATTGATTTAGTATATTCTAAAAAGATAATAGCGTGTTGACTATTATTAAAAAGTAGAATGTATTTAAATACTGGCGTTTACATATGTACTGGCGTTTACACGTTGTAAAACGGACAAAAACAAGGTGTTTTTCAAAAGGTGCACCATATAGATATACGAAGTTTAGTATTTAATCAAAATCTTGCTCGATGAAATTCAGTTGGGCACCTCTGGTACATGGTTCCTAAAGAGTATAGTTCATAACTTTTGGACAAAGTACTTCTGGCGATAGATTATTCAATTTATATAGTTTTCTAGTGTTTCAGCTAATTTGAACTTGCGGTTGTTCTTCCATTGCTGATACTTCTAATTGTCGTTGTTCAGCTTCTATACGTAAATAGGGTCCATTATAAAATAAGAGTACAACCATTGCACATATAAATAAACAAAATAAAAATATAGACGATGATGTAAACACTGTTGTATAAGTTGGATTAATCAAATAGTCTAATATAAAGATACAAATCCCACCTAGAACGTTCCCAGAACACATTAGTATGCCGTTCGAGTAATTTTCTTCAATTGGAAAAGTACATTCGATCGAGCACTCAAATACTACGGGTAGTAATGGTAACAGGAATAGACCCAATAGACCGAAAGATACTGCTAAAGGATAATACATATTTGGTCTTAATACCAGAATAAAATAAATGCCTGAACAACAGGCAAGAACTACCAATAATTTGAGTATCAAACGATAATAGTGTGTTTTATCCATGATAACGCCAATGAGGCCTGCTCCAATGAGACCTACAACAACTATTATTGCTCCAAAGACGCCCGCATCATTGGAAGTATAACCACATGGCTCAATTATCTGTTCTAACAATGTAGTAATTGCACTAAATAAGCCTAAGCCAATTGAAAACGAAAACAATAGTATGAGATAGTCCTTATTCTTTAGTAATTTTATAGAATCTTTCCAAAGAGTAGACTTCTTTACTGTTGATACTTGCTGTGAACGCGATGGAGGTGTAGGAGGAGACGATTTGTAGAATAAGATTATTAATAGTGTTGCCAGTGTGATGAAACCAGCTTCAACGAGCAGTAATATGAGAAACTGTGTGAATTGTGCATCGGTAACAATAAGAGATGGTATTAAGGAACCAATGGCTACGCCAAGCGGATTCGCCATGGAAGTGATCGATGTTGCTAAATCGCGTTGATTTTTTGAAAACCAACGTGCGGCGAACATGGCACACGTACTTGTGAAAAACGGTTGACTCAGTGCGGGGAATATCTGACCGAGTACTAGCCATGCATAACCATTTGTTGGTGAAATTAAGGATAATAAACGAAACCATGTGCCAAGATTCATTAGAGAACCAATGATCATTGCTTTAAAGAGCAGAAAATCCAAAAACAATTCACTCGATTAAGCGGAGAATAACATACCTGTTCGCATTGGAAACTTCTTAAACATGTAAGTTGATAAGAATACACCAGGGATATACAAAAATAAGAAAATAATCGATAATACATTGACTTGTGTTGTGGTAATTTTGTATTCTTGGATTGTTATTGATTGAATAGTAGAAAAGGTTATCCATACAATCGCATTAGAAACATCTACTAGTACAAACAGAAGTAATTGAAACCATCTAATACCATACACGCGATAGGTTTCTGCGGCAGGAACTGGGATACCTACATTTGTCGACATGAAGAAAGTTGATTACATTGCTCAAACCGTGTCACATATTTATCTGTGATAGCATAATATAACCCTCACTGTGTTCTGTATTGATTCTTCTTTTGCCTGGGTGATTGGAAATCTGTCAGCTTGTCCTCGTTGTTTTTCGATTCCCTAATGATTATGATTCAGTTTCTTCCTTTCTATCGCAATCACAAGGTGAAAATATAAACGCAATATTTTTCTTCTGCATAACTTTATTATTCCTTTAATTGCTTTGTATTTAGTGCCTCATAACTGTGTTTGTGTGATGCATTCATTCAGGATAGAAATGGAAGAAATGGTTAACTTCACTTTTTCTTTGAATCGCGGAATAAAAAAAAGTAACGTCAAGAAAAGAAAACAAAAATACTTATGGTTGTTCAGATTCTACTATTTTTCTCTATTTAAATGCTATATGTAAAGCTAGGATGTATTGTAATAAGTTGATTCTTTTAGACAGGCTATTTACTGTGCAATGATGACACTATTCATGTAAAAACAATTTATTCTACTGACAATTGATAATTTGATTGCAAAGTTGAATCTGTTTTTCTACAAATCGAAGGTCAACAGCGAAGAATTGACTCCATACAGTATTTGACAAACTGGTATCGTCGATAAAAAATAGAATGGACTCGGATGTTTCTTCAGTAACATTCGATAGGAAAGCGGTACATGCCTGCTGCCTTCACCAATTGAAAGCCAAGATCTGATTGCATAATCTCATCACGAAGTCATTTTCAAAATCTTTTTCTAAAATAGGTCTCTCAGAGCATCTTGAAAACTATATCATAGCTCAAAAACTTGCAATTAAATAGTCTGACTTTTTTTCATGGATAGATAGTCCAACGGGTCCTCTTCAAAATGGGAGTCAAGCGAGACTCTC